TCTGTTGTTCCATGTCCAGTTCTAACTGTTGCTTCCTGACCTGCATACAAGTTTCTCAAGAGGCAGGTCAGGTGGTCTGGGATTCCCAACTCTCAGAATTTTCCACAGTTTGTGGTGATCCACACAGTCAAAGGCTTTGGCATGTATGGATGTGAGAGTTGGACTAAAAAGAAAGCTGAGTGCCGAAGAATTGATGCTTTTGAACTGTGGTGTTGGAGAAGACTCTTGAGAGTCCCTTGGACTGCAAGGAGAGCAAACCAGTCAATCTTAAGGGAAATCAGTGCTGAATATTCATTGGAAGGACTGATGCTGAAGCTGCAACTCCAATACATTGTCCACCTGACACGAAAAACTGACTCATTTGAAAAGACCCTGATGCTGGGAAAGATTGAAGGCGGGAAGAGAAGAGGATGACAGAGGATGAGATGGTTGCATGGCATCACAGACTCGATGGACATGAGTCTGAGCAAGCTCTGGGAATTGGTGGTGGACAGGGAAGCCTGGTGTGCTGCAGTCCATGGGGTCGCAAAGAGTCAGACATGACTGAATGACTGAACTGATATACCTGACATCAGTTCAGTTCAGTTCAATCACTCAGTCATATCTGACTCTCTGCAAGCCCATGGACTGCAGCATGCCAGGCTTCCCTGTCCGTCACCAACTCCCCGAGCTTGCTCAGACCTGACATGCCTGACATACTCATGACTTAGAGGCATTGCCCAGAGACAGCAAAACTATCTGCTATGGAACAGACTATGTTTGACGTCAGAATGCTCTGTACAAATGTTTAAGCCACTCAGGGCTCCCAGTAGGGAATATCTCTTATCAGATATTTGAGTATCGCTAAAGTCAAACCACTAGTGACTAGTAAGGTAGGTCCTCCAAACTAGGCCTTTAGACTTCAAATCCAAGACTCTTTATATTGGATTAATATTAAATTGCTTATTCGTGTGATGAGATTAGGGGCTGATTACTGACTATTCTCAGCAACCATTTTTGGAATCTGGTACAACTGAGGCTGTGCCAGTACACTGAACTTCCTATCAGGGTCTCTCCTATTTCTCCCCAACAGCCTCTTGATCCATAGTCTCTTCATGGCATTTTTCACCTCCATGTTTCTCAGGGTGTAGACCAGAGGGTTCAACATGGGTGTGATGATGGTGTAAAATACAGCCACTATCTTGTCCTCAGGGAAAGTGGTGGGAGGTCTCAGGTACATGAAGAGGCAGGGGACGAAAAACAAGATGACCACAATGATATGGGAAGTACATGTGGACAGAGCCTTGCGCCTCCCCTCTGATGAGCAGGTCTTGAAAGAAAGCAAGATGACAGTGTAAGAACCAACAAGAATGACGAAGGAGCTCAGTGAAATCATGCCGCTGTTGGCCACCACCACAAGCCCCGCCACATACGTGTCTGTGCAAGCCAGCTTCAGTAAAGGTTGGACATCACAGAAGTAGTGGTCGATCAGGTTGGGGCCACAGAAGGGCAGTTGTATGGTGAGCATGGTCTGGACAAAAGTATGCACAAACCCTCCCAGCCAGCAGAACACCAGCAAGAGGGAGCAGAATCTCCAGTCCATGATGGTCAAATAGTGCAGAGGCTTACAGATGGCCACGTACCTGTCATAGGCCATCACTGTGAGGATAAAGATTTCTGTGCAGCCAAACAGGTGCGAGAAAAAGAGCTGGAGCATACAGCCAACAAAAGAGATTCTTGTGTCCTTGACTTGAAAGTCAATAATCAGCTTGGGAGCCGTGACAGAGGAATAGCAGATGTCAACAAAGGATAGGAAGCTGAGGAAGAAGTACATCGGAGAGCTGAGGTTTGGGCTTCTTAGAACAGTCATTATAATGAAAAAATTTCCTGTCATGAGGATTATGTAAAAGAGTAGGAATAAAATGAAGCATAGTTGCTGTACTTCCTTATTTTGGGAAAGACCCAGGAGGATAAATTCAGTAACATTATTTCCCATGAAACATGGAAGTTTACAAGAGAGAAGTGCTTTGTGTTTTACCTGTTGGAAAAAGGATAAAGGACGATTAGATTGGGGCACATGATATAACATTATTGTTTTTATTTTTTAGCAGTTATTCACAAAGTTCCTCCCTTAAAGGTTTTGGTTTCATTATACTCTGTTTCTTAAAATTATGTGAGACTAAGGGTGGGACAGAGGGAGCAAGAGGAGAGAAAAGAAAATCTGATGGCCTTTAAATATATTTAGGCCTGGAGTCTAGGTTCTCCACTTGTCAGGTGTCTGAATCATAGTTGCTTGAGAATTTAAATTATATCTTCTTTTTATTTATTTATTTTTCCATTTATTTTTTATTAGTTGGAGGCTAATTACCTTACAATATTGTATATCTTCTTTTTAAATCAAGTTTCCAAGTGATAAAGTCCACTCTCCTATTTCAGGATGCTATTTCCCTATGTTGCAGTTGATATATGGAACGTGAAGTGAAGTGAAAGTCGCTCAGTCGTGTCTGACTCTTTGCAACCCCATGGACTATACAGTCCATGGAATTCTCTAGGCCAGAATACTGGAGTTGGTAGATTCTTTCTTCTCCAGGGGATCTTCCCAGCCCAGGGACTGAACCCAGGTCTCCTGCATTGCAGGTGGATTCTTTACCAGCTGAGCCACAAAGGAAATATGGAATCTATGTTAAATATACGCACATTTGTGATCATAAGTATTGATACATGTCTTCAAATGTACAACTTTGAGCCAGACCTGGGATGTAATGAGCCTTCTGTGTAGCTCTTTGGCCTCCCAAATTACTGTCAGCCTGATTGTCTTTATCACATTCAGTTTAGTTCAGTTCAGTCATGTCCGACTCTTTGCAACCCCATGGACTGCAACACACCAGGCTTCCCTGTCCATCACCAACTCCCAGAGCTTGCTCAAACTCATGTCCATCGAGTTAGTGATGCCATCCAACCATCTCATCCTCTGTCGTCCCCTTCTCCTGCCTTCAATCTTTTCCAGCATCAAGGTCTTTTCCAATGACTCAGTTCTTTGCATGAGGTGGCCAAAGTATTGGAGTTTCAGTTTCAGTGACTATCCCAATGAATATTCAGGACTGATTCCTTTAGGATGAACTGGTTGGATCTCCTTGCTGTCCAAAGGACTCTCAAGAGTCTTCTCCAACACCACAGATCAAAAGCATCAATTCTTCAGTCCTCAGCTTTCTTTATGGTCCAACTCTCACATCCATACATGACTACTGGAAAAACCACAGCTTTGACTAGATGGACCTTTGTCAGCAAAGTAATGTCTCTGCTTTTTAATATGCTGTCTAGGTTGGTCATAACTTTCCTTCAAAGCAGTAAGCGTCTTTTAATTGCATGGCTGCAATCACCATCTGCAGTGATTTTGGAGCCCAAGAAATTAAAGTCTGTCACTGTTTCCATTGTTTCTGCATCTATTTGCCATAAAGTGATGGGACCAGATGCCATCATCTCAGTTTTTTGAATGCTGAGTTTTAAGCTGGCCAGTTTTTTGAATGATGAGTTTTATCACATTAGATTATTATATTATTCTGGGACTTCACTTTTTGTCTCTTCTCATCTGTTTAGAAGTTTGAGAAAGTGCACAGAGGCTTCACAAAATGGAAATACCATTTGCAAGATACTCAAACCTTCAGATTTTACTTGACATTGTTACAGGATTGGGGAGGTACCAGTTCTCAATTAGGTTAGTAGTGCCTCTGACAATGACCAACTGTGAGATCTGGGGTAAGTTATTTGTCTTCACTGAGACCTAATTTCTTTGGTCAAAGGATTGACTCTAGAGGGTCAGTCCCTCTAGAGAACACCAGGGCTTCCTCCAGTTAATGTTATATCATGAAATGTATGGTTATCTCTCCAATACAAAGAATCACTCTCATTGAATATGATTTCTTTCTTTTATTGTTTTTGTGTCCCTTTGAACCAAAGATGTATAAAGGTGGGGACAATGTGTATTTATTTTTGTGTTGGTTTATTAGTTTGGCAAGTCATTTAAGCTTTTTTAAACTTCATCTTTCAAATGGAAAGCTACTGACTACTTCAGAGAATTGTTTCAAGTACCAAACCTAGTCCAGCATATGGGAAGTGCTCACTGAATTATGCCTTTTGATTTTCCAACTCAATTTCCAGTACTTACATTTTGATATGAAACTTTTCAAATATACGTAGAATAGAGATAATGCGTGCTCATATACTTGTTGTTTAGCCACTAAGTCATGTCTGACTCTTTGTCACCCCACGAACTGCAGCACCCCAGGCTTCCCTGTTCTTCAGTGTCTCTCAGAGCTTGCTCAGTCTCATGCCCACTGAGTCAGTGATGCTATCTAACCATCTCATTACTCAGATTAAAAAGTGATTTTTTGCCACTTTTACCACAATAATTCTGTGATAAAATTTAACTACATTTGCTTCATGGATCTCTCTTTTTCCTTACTTTTTTGTTCCAAATTATTTTAGTGGAAATCTGTCATCATATCATTTCAACTTCAGTATCCATGTCTCTGAAATTAAGGCATTAAAAAAAATAAGCATGAGGACTTAATCACATGTAATAGTATTACCAGTAGTTTCCCGGTATCTGGTCTGCTGTAGCCACGTTTTCTTCCCACCTCTCCTTACAGTAATTAGTTGAGCACCTACTTTGCCTGCTGTGTGGAATAGGGTCGCTCACTGTGAGTACCGAATACCTGCTGTATGGAAAGTGTGATTAAAAAACTGAACTTTCAATTTTATTTAAATTTAATTTGTAAAAGTAAAGTGATATAAAATGTTTGACATCATAAAAATTTGTGTAATTGAGTTAAACAAGATTTTAATATTACAAAAATCAGTTCAGTTTAGTTCGGTCACTCAGTCATGTCCGACTCTTAGCAACCTCATGGACTGCAGCACGCCAGGCCTCCCTGTCCATCACCAACTCCTGGAGCTTACTCAAACTCATCTCGATTGAGTCAGTGATGCCATCCAACCATCTTATCCTCTGTAATCCCCTTCTCCTCCTGCCTTCAATCTTTTCCAGCATCAGGGTCTTCTCCAATGAGTCAGTTCTTCGCATGAGGTGGCCAAAATATTGGAGTTTTAGCTTCAGCATCAGTCCTTCCAATAAATATTCAGGACTGATTTCTTTTAAGATGGACTGGTTTGATCTCCTTGCAGTCCAAGGGACTCTCAAGAGTCTTCTCCAACACC